CTGTAATTAATTACATTTTTGAAAAGGAACGAATTATTGTAATTAATTACAAAATAAAGGAACGCGTTCCTTTTGCTTTAACGAATGAAAATTACAAATTCCTTTGATCAAATAATTTAAAAACGCTTTCAAAAACGCTTTGTTTTCCATTTTTGTTAAATCCAGAAAATTTTCAATAACTAATTCAAACTTCAAAGTGCCAGTGGAAGTTGTTCAATTGAACTCTAATACTTCATGTAGACTGTAGTGTATTGATATAGTGAAAAGCATTGCCGCCATGCTTGAACGACTGCGAAATGTTAATATGAACGCTTGAACGTCCAATGCTAATATGGTAGACCATGTTGTAGACAACGACTTTGCCGATTTAGAGAATATAGAGCCAGCCGGGCCCAGTGAACCAGAGTCAGCTGTAAGTGGAGAAGAATCAGAAGACCTTCAAGACCAAGAAGGCAGTCAATCTGCCGCTGTGCAGGATTTCAACGCGGGAAAAGAGGAATCTCCATGGCCCGAATTGAATACATTTTTTAGTGTTTGTTGTAAACGAAACAACAACCTCTCGTTCGATTGCCTTTTGTGTAAACCGAAGAAAACCGTGCTTTCCACATATATTACATCACACCCCAACCTTCCGTGCAGCATGCGAGCATCATTTTAGCACTAGTGGTCTGATACTGAGGCCTCACCGAAGCAGTCTTAATGACAAACATTTTGAAGCATGCCTCCTCTCAAAGCTTTTAAATAACTTAAAATTTTTGAAATAAATTCAAAACATTATAATTGATGGGTGTATAACCGTTGATCGTTATCGTTTTTCTTCACTTTGCGAACACTGAACATTTATACAAAATTATGATGTGTAATTTGTAATTAATTACATTTTTAAATGGTAATTTTGTTACTGTAATTAATTACTTTCCTGAAGAAGTAATTGTGATCAGTAATTAATTACATTTTAAAGAAAGTAATTTTATTTGTAATTAATTCCTTTTTGGACGGTAATTTTGCAGCACTGGAAACGTCGTAAGCCAGATCAGATTCCATTAACACTGAGACAGAAATTCTAATCGGTCTGGCCATTAAATGGAAAGCGCCCCAAGATAAATACAGCTGATTCAATTAAGGTTGTCCTTCCAAAACCTTAAACCTTAGCGCGCAAGGGATGATGGGTTTTTACCTATTAGACCCCTAAACTCAGAAAATTGCCTTTGCAGCAAGTATGTTTTTGTTGTTGTGAGTCTTCTATATATGTCTTAAGTATTCTTACAAAGCCAAATTTCAAAGTTTATGAGTCTAAACAGGGACGCCGGAACGATGTGAAGGCAAGGGGGGCAGATTTTCGTGAAAGGGCACTTTTGAATTGAAATATACTAAGAGATCTTTGCAAAACATCAGGAGTTGAACTTCGCCTAATCATGTTTTCTATTTATTGGATGACAGGGGTGTGAGGGGGTTCTCCGCCAGGCGATTGTGCTATTCTTGAAGCTCGATGACTGCATTTCTTGCGTTTTCTGAAGCAAATTCGTAAAATAATTGCGCTAACATTTCTGACAATTCGCTATTTCGCCAAGGCAATCCTTTAAATTGAAAAGGCACCTTGGCCCCCCTTGCCCCTCCTGGTAAAGGGCAACGGGGGCGACTGCCCCTCCTGCCCCCCCCCCCAGTTCCGGCGTCCCTGAGTCTAAATAAGCAATAACCCATCATCCCTTGCGCGCTCAGAGTTTGAGGTTTAAGTTTTTGGAAAGACAACCTTAATTAAATTAGCTGCATAACAAATTAGGTAAACAGCCAACTAAATTAGTCACGAAGGACTTGCCTAGTCATGCCTGTCAGATGTTGGGATCCTTGGTAGCGGTGCTACCTGCAAGTGGCTGAAGCTAACTGCAATCCTTGGTCAGAAGGTCTTATGCATGCTTAAGTAAGGTAGAAAATTTCAAGAACTCCCTTTTCAAATGCCAGAACTTCCTTTTCAAATGCCAGAACTCAGTTTTGAAATGCCAAAACTCAGTTTTCAAATGCCAGAACTCCGTTTTCAAATGCCAGAACTCCCTTTTCAAATACCAAAACTCAGTTTTCAAATGCCAAAACTCCATTTTCAGATGCCAGAACTCCGTTTTCAAATGGCTAAAACTCAGTTTTCAAATGCTAAAACTCCATTTTCAAATGCCAGAACTCCGTTTCCAGAAGGAGAACTCCGTTTTAGGCTTGATATATGAATTTTTTTTACTAATTGGGTTTTAGAAAATTAGTGGACACTCAATTTTGACAATATGATACATAACTAAAAAAATTTCTTCGCAGTGCCTGGTCCCCTGTCGTAATTTGCTAACTGAAAATATTTTTGGCTACCTGCAAAAAAACTAAATATACAGGCGTGAGCCTAGTTAGTTGGCTGGCTAGGATTGTAACAATTTAATTAAATGACTGATATGAAGAGGTCGTCAAATAAACACTGCAATGTTTTTAATTAGGCACAAACACAAGATTTGGTCATCCCTGCTCAGAGAATTGAACCAGGCGACGAGTACACTGGTGCTACTGTAATCGAACCTGAAAAAGGGTTAGTATACTTGAATGAAGTACTTGTGATGTGTGTCGTATTTCGACTGTTCAACCCCCTGGTGGCTTATTTTTCCCCAATAGTTCTTGACTGGGGGCTTATTTGAGGGGGGGGGGGGGGGCT